CTCGAGAAATAAGGAGAGGTGCACCCCCCACCCCACCCCCCCCCACCAGCCAGGTGGAGGGGGGGGAGTTGTGGTTGTGTTGTAGTGCCCCGCATGCCTTACAGTTGCCAAGGTTGAAAAAAACTAGTCTAGGTGAAACATAGGGCAAGTCCCTGAAACTTTAATTAGGGTCTTTTACAATAAATGATAAATAATATAACAGATTGTCTATAAAAATTTAGATATCCTCAAGGAAAAGTGAGTTTTTCCCCACCATAGCTTGATTTGTAGAAATTGATATACCAAAACTAGATGATAAAGATGGAGAATCTGCTCTTTTATTTCCTGTTCCTAAAGGGCAGCATTATTCTGCCTGATAAGGCGTTCTGGAAAATCCGAGTTTACACGCCCTTTCCCCCCATTTTCTTGCTCTTAATAAAAATTTTTTTAAAAAAGTATTGCCAACTCGGGTGATCTCCCCCACCCGCCCCTTTCAGGGACCAACGTGGCTGTAATGGCCTTCTATGCCTTCCTACGTCACGCTAGAAGGTTCTCCGGACCCTCCAACAACCCACGAACGGAATAAGCTGAAAGGCACAATTTGGCTTAGTCCTTTCCTCCCCCGATTGAAATGGTACAATCCGCAAGGGGGCACAAGGAACTCCAGGCTTTCCTGCCCTCGATGGTACAGTCCATAATCGTCGCTGTCATTCCTTTCCCAAGCGCATCCCATTACCTCTCCTTCCCCCTTTTCGCCTGCCCGCAATGGTTTGCCCCAACCACCCCCGTCCTCCAGCTCGATGTTTTCCCTCTTCTACGTCACGATCTCTCATTCTTTAGTTCGAGCCGGCTCCGCCCCTTCCACTGTGCTTCCACTCCCTTCCTCCGAGCTTATTGGTTCCTTTTCTCCCCGCCGAAGGAGTAATTTTCTTTTAGCTCCACCCCTCTCCTCCACTCCGGGGCTGCGAGTTCGGTGCTGCTGGAGGAGCGGAAGGAGGAGGGGACGGCAGCCGGGACAGGACATGCCCCGCAAGAGGCCGTTCAGCGCTAAGCAGAAGAAGAAGCAGCTGAAGGACAAGCGGGAGCGAAAGCGGCAGGGTGAGAGGGGGAGCGAGAGGGGCAGCG